AGATTGTTTGGTTGCTTATAGATTTCCATAGATTATGTTCGTCAACTGCGGATGAGTTGATTTGACTCAATCTTAAGGCTCTTATATGTTCTTTGAGTCTAGTTGATATTTTGTAAAATCATTAAACTCTTCTCAACTACCAAGCACTGTCATAAATGTATCATCGCAGCAACTTCACACGGAAAAGTCAGTTCTCGCAAAAGGTTCCAACTTTGTCCTGGCTCCGCGTATTATCTCAAAAGAGGAAATCATTTCAAACGTCAAAAGTCAATAGTAAAATCAAATAAACTAAATTCTACGGTGGTCATGTTCACAAATGAATATCAGGAAAAGGTTCAAGGTATTCTTTCAGACGGATCCTATCGTCAACTTTAATGTCATCTATGGAACACAACCTTAAATATATTATTAAGGCTTCTTCTCTATCGGAATCCATGAAAAAATCTGTCACCCTTTATGACTCTAAATTCCTCCTCTTTACGGACTCCTAATATTCACAAACCAGAATTACCCCTTCGACGTACTGTTAGCACCATATCAATATTAAAACAATTAAAACGGAAAACTGATAGTTTCCTACTAAATTCCTTTAATTTCATCGAACAACTAAAATCATTCCATTAGATCCACATGATATTCTGGTTAGTTTCGACTAAAGTCCCTATTCTTGAAACTCTCATTTTTATTTCAGATTAATTAATATCCCAGAATCTGGAACCAAACCTTCTCATCTTGATTTGAAAAATACTTGTCTGGAACACAGTTTTCTTAGAATGGCCAAATTGTTTAACAAACGTCATGGGTTCTCCATTATCATCAGTCATCATGAATGTATTTATGGAAACCTTTGAGAAGAAAGCACTCGACACCTTCCATTCCAAAAATTTGAAAACGCTTTGTTGATGGTACTTTTTTTATTTGAAGTCATTGTCAAGAATTCCTAGGAGATTTTCTTAGACATTGAAACTTTATACACCCTAATATACGTTTTAACATTGAATTAGAAACTAATAATAATCTTTCATTCTTAGATATTCTTATCAATAAAAAATCAGCCCTAGCATTACTATCCGGCCCAAAAGTCATCGGTTATCAACTCTATTAAGAATTACAATATCTTGCATCTGCTCTTCTGTCTAATAATTTCCACATTAGAGATATTAGCACATAATCACACAATCACAAAATACACTTCACCACACCCTTTCAAGGACAATAAGTCCGAAAACAATTCCTTCCTTCCTTATCACTTACCACATAACAAAAGTTCCCAAGCAATAAAACATCAAAACCAGATTTACCACTTCTCCAAAAATCTCTCAACATCATCGATTCGTCAAGGACAAAATTCGGTTTGAAATGTCAGGAGTTTACACCATTCCATGCATATGCAGCAAAGAATACATTGGAGAGACAGGACGAAAAATAACAATGCGACTTAAAGAACATGTAAGAGCCTTAAGACTACAGCAAATCAATTCATCAGCAGTTGTCAAACGCAATCAGGAAACAGGACATCAAATTTTATCTTTATCATTTCATCAACATAGGTTGTGAAAAGCAAAGAGCTTAGTCCTTCTGTTTGCCTTAATCCTGCTCTCGTTGTGAATGGCTTTGCAATTTTATTTTGGTGTATTATATAGTTAATATTTTCTTTGTATATATTTTTCAACACTTTTATCATTTTGTTTTCTACCTTCCAAGTAGAATTTTCCACAGTTTGTTAATTGGTACTTTACCAAACGCTTTCTCCATGGCAATGAGACCAAAATATATTTCATTATGTTGATCTATTGCCTCTTCAGGTATTTGTTTTACTGCTAATATGTGATATTGTATACTTCTTTCCTTATATTGAAAGATTCCTGTATTGTATTTTCTATCACCTGTTTTATCTTTCTATCCAGGACTTGTTCATACATTTTCACATAGAAGACTTATTCCTCTGTAATTATTCAATAGAATTTATCCCCTTTCTTAAATAGTGGGGTTATTAAAGATGTCCTTTCAACTTGAGGTATGCATTCTTCGATACATACTTAATTATATAATTTGACAATGATTTGTATTCCACTTTCACCATCGTGTTTGATCATATTGTTTTGCCATTTTTGAATGCCTTTATTACTTGTTGTATTTCTTCTCTTGTTAAATACTCACCATCTTGTTTATTTCATACGTGGGTTCTTCTTGTAATTCATGTCCGTCCATCATTATCTTCTTTTTCTCTTAGTAGTTCCAGCAAAAAATCTCTCCATCTCGGCATCATTTCATTGTCAGTTGTTAACAGCTTTCCATTTTTGTTTTTTATTTTGTCTTTTCTCAGTATTTTGATCGAGCAGTAATACTCTATTACGCAACAGGTGTAGTAAACGGCATTTAACTCACTAGTTTATTTGGCAGGAGCTGAGAGAGTATTTAATAAACGAGTGACTTAGAAAGTTAACCAAACTTGTTGCATACTATACTTTTTCCGCGACAGTTAATTTTTGGGTACATTTTTGCAAAGCAACACTGACGTGACAGTCAAAATTGACAAACGTCAAAATTCGATCGGTGCGGTAAAATCTCCGGAAACATTCGCTTCCTCCCAAACCTGTAGTACGGTAAAATCCCGAAAATGTGTGAAGTGCCTCAGATCCGTAGAATAACAAACTCACGTGGTAAAGTGACGCTTCCCGCACGCTAAATCGGTTTCTCTATTTTTTCGCCGTACTATATCCATTTCTTTTCTCGCTGTTTTATTTGTTCTTTAATCTCTTCTGATCACCAGACTGTTTGTTTTCAAGTGGTGTTTTTTTTACTACTACCACAGATTTCTTTGAAAGTGTCTAGTAATGTGTTTCTGAAGTAATTACATGTTTCTATGTTGGCGTTTTTCATTCCTTCTTCTTGTTTCAAATTTTTCATTTAAAGCAATTGTAGGTCTTTCTGCGATTACTCTGTCACCTAATTCAGATTTTATACTTATAGTTTTTTTTAAGTGTTACTATGGATACTATTAATTGCATGTTCTATCTTTGATACAACCAAATAGTGATCGCTCCCAATTTCTGGTTCTCTTCCCATCTTGTATCAATTTTATGATTTCTGTTAGCTTTGGTTGGTTTTTTATGTTCACTATTGACTATTATATGTTTTGAAGTCTATAAATATACAGGGTGTTTCATTAAAAAAAGGAAACTTTTTGATCTGGCACAGTATACTAATTCCGAAGGCGGAATTGAGTTTTGCAGGAAAAGTTTTCATATTTTCGATAAGTTGTCGACGGTTGCCTGAAAATTTTCAAAATTTTGTTAACGGCATCTTTAGTTTTTAGTTATTCTTAAAGATTAATGTTTTGCCCTTCAAAGTACGCCCCCCCCCCCCAACGTTTTTTATAATCCTCGAAGAAGCAGTTTCTGGTATAGCCTTGACTTGTTCCCGTCACTTTTTCTTTATCTCCTGAATCGTTCTTCTTCCCTTCATGGGCTTCTTGAGTTTTGGGAAGAGGAAAAAGTAGCAGGGGGCAATATCCGCTGAATCTGGTGGCTGAGACATAACTATGGTTCTGTTTTTGACTAAAAAGTTAGACACAAGCAACGCTAGGTGAGCAGCGTGATGAAAAATCCAAGAATTCTTTTCCAACAATTCCGGACGTTTTCTTAGTATTGCTTCCCGCAAAGGTGGGAATACTTTTTATTGACCGTACGACCTTGTAACCGTAAACTCTTGATGTGCTACGCCACATAATCAAAGAAAATGTGCTCTTTTCGGTCTGGCGATTCAGGGTTCTTCCACTGGGACGACTGAGCTTTGGTTTCGACGGCATAACCCTATACCCATGATTCGTCACCAGATATGAACTTTTTGAGCATATCAGGATCATCATTGACGTTTAATAGCTCTTGAGCCATGCTCCATCGATTGTCCTTTTGTTCCAAATTAAGCAGTTTACGAGCAAATTTTGTTGCTCACGTTTTATACCGAAAACTTCGGAAAAAATTGCATGGCACTTGCCAATAGAGATGCCGACGTCTTCAGTCACTTCTCTAACGCTTTCATCAGTTATTGACGGGAATCCAGAGCGAGCTTCGTCATCAGCGTCTTCTCGACCTTCTTGTACCACTTATAAACTTTTTTTTGCTCAAAGTTGATTCACTATATGCCGTTGTCCACATTTCAAGTATTTTGCAGCACCGTATTCTATTTTTTTACACAAAATTTTATGTAAATTGTTTGTTTCATTACTTTCATGTCTAACACTTCTGTCTCACAAAAAAAGGAAACTTGAAAACTGACTGAAACTGTGAACAAATGTTAGGGATATGTGTAGCAACATAACAAAAAAATTCTCAAAGAACGAATGTACGTAGCTTGTCCAATTACAAAAGTCACTTTACTTTTTGAATGCTCTCTGTAAACTGTTGCGAAAACTGCAACTTTTAAGAAATAAAAATATCGGAGATACTCCGAAAAAGTACCTTACATCTATGTACGTTGTACCTTGTGTATTAGGTATGGGTCTATATTAGTTGCGGTGGTAGATTGTATAGTATATTTTTTATTATCCGTACTAATTTTTAGCAAAAATTATATCTGCCTAATTAAAGCTTGCATATTTGACTTTGCAAGGTGAGGCGGCATTCACTTGAAAGCAATTATAGATTACATCTAGTAGTGATTATAAGTGTAAATTAAACAAAGTGAGTTTCACCTTTGTTTATAGACATTGAATTTGTTTTTTAAACGGAAGTAGAAACTTCTCGATAATCAAAAATTCCAAATAGTACGCAGCAAAGGGAAACGATAATACTACAGCGATCGAACAAAAACTAATAGAATATTAATCCTTATTAGTTGACGTCAATGCACTTAACAAACACAAGATAATATAAAACACTGTCCTCGCGAGGCACAAAGGACCGCGTGGCTTTTTGTAAAATATGCGCCTTTATCTTTCAAGATTTGTGTTATCGACGTATAAATTTATTATGTCGATCGACGAATCTGGAATAAATTATCACTGGTTTTGATTTATTAGAGCGAGGCAGTTTTTTTTTCGAGTTTTTCGAAGATGTTGAAAACGCTGTTGTTTTTCTGTGCCCTGCCTATTTTACTGGGCGCCAACGCCGACAGATACGGTAAGTACCGGTTTATTTTTTATATTCGCCAATTCACCAACAAAAACTTTGAATAAAAAATTTGATTAATTTTTGCAATATTATCTTCTATTTACATTATTTTATATTTTTAAACAGAACACTCTATAGATTCGGCAATATTAACCACAATATTTTCTTGATACACCGTCATTATTTCGGTTCTTCAGCTGGATATGTTATGTTCATAGAGCATCTGAGCAACAGATTGTGTTGAAGTTAGAAATCAATTTAATCCAGAAAAATCCAACAATACCCCAATCACTACTGGAGTGGAGTGCCTCGAGGTTCAATTTTATCTTTATTTTTTAGTCTTTATGCAGCAGTTACGAAATATTCAGTGATGCAATAATATGAGGATGATTCCCCAATTTATATTTCTTTTTTTACGGAAGAGTTCAAACGTTCTCTGAAAAACGTGTTTCTTACTATATCCCATTTCGTAAACGCAATACATCATATTCAATTAGCAACTCCGGTGAACCCGATTACCTTAGAAAGCAGTGCAATGTTTTTTGTATGGCATTAGAAAAGTTATCGATGGTCTTCAAGCAGATACGTCCATGGCAGACTTCAAAATGTACGGGTGTTGAGGCAAGAAATTGTTCAAGACTCTATCTTGAATGCGATTCGTCATAAAATGAGAGATAATATTAGAAAATGTTTGGGAAATCATGGTGGATATATAGAAAACACAGCCATTTACTTCATGTTATATATTAATTTTTCAAAGAAACTTCCACAGGCTACTTTAATGCTTTTTACAAAACTTCTGGATTCCTCCTGCGTCGATTTGAAACTGTTTCAGTCAAGCTCTGAAGAAGCCAACAGGATGATTGGCGAAACGTCAGCAATTTCGACTAAGCAAAAATCGACGCAGGAGGAATCCAGAAGTTTTGTAAAAAGAATGTACATATTTTTGAAATCAGGGAAAAAAGATCTTTCGTCATAACAAAAAAAACATAGTTAAATTTATAAATAAAACACTACTGTTTTTCAACTTTGCGATGCGCATTTGCTTTTTTTTTACAAGTCTAAAAGATAATACTGCAAAAATTATACAACATTTGTACTAAAAATTATCCCCTGCTGGAAATTGAAACTCTTCTGGGGAAAATCACCTTTCAGCCATTTTAAAGTCCATCGAGTGGGGATTTCTCGAGTTCTTACGGGACGGAGTTAAACCGGGCTACCTCAAAGAGGCGATCCAACATTTCCAATTGCCCCACTTCTTTAGAGATGAAGAATTTGACAGGCCCGATTACGGCTTGATGAGCCTCATCACAGACGAGGAGACATGTACGCTGTGCGGCATTTTAGTGAACGTCATAATCGAAGAAAGGAAGCTGGGACTCGGCCGAGAGCAATTGGCCGGAGAAGTGGCCGCCATTTGTATAGATTTCGGTATCGAAAACGAAAGAGTGTGCAAAGGAGCAATCGATCTCAATGTGGTAAGTAGGTAAGTCTATTTCAAAAAGGTGTAGAGTACTAAACACTCCGGTATGCTTTGGGACCACAGAGTAAACCAACGGAGACTTTCATTCATACCATTAACGTTATTACAAAATTCTTCTTTTTTTATAGACTACAGGTAGTGCCATACGGGTTTGAGTCAATTTACAATGCTATTCATTTTGTACATATTTTTTTTCACGATAGAAAGTTTTTATGTATTTTAATATAACTTTGAAGACCTTTAAAGTTTTGCAAAAAGTGGAGGAGAACGGACAGTCAATTTCGGTTTGCAAATATGTGTGCCGAGGTTATAACTACTTCGAATATATGACAATTTCTCCTAAATTATCACAATTTGTATATAAAGAGATTTCATACGAAAAAAAGACGGCACACTTAAAATATTGAAAATTTTTAAATTGATCTCTACTATATTTTTTTTAATAGTTTTTGGTTTTTCTAGCAAGAGAATGAGTATATCTTTTTGAGCAACAAAAACAGCGAGTGTTGCCTAACTTCAATTTTTAGCACTGACTTTAATTGTGTCAAAACATAAATTTGACAGTTTACTTCACTTTACTTCACAATTTGATTTCCAGTTAAGATTTGTGTAAATATACAGTGTGTTTATCTATCAAAGATATATTGAAAACCATAAGAGAAATGAAGATGGTTAAATTAGAAAAAAGTTGCAAAATTTAAAAGCTAATAACGTGGTATTGAGGAAATTAAAAAATTGCGAAGCTACGCCAAATAAAAGGAAATTTGTCGATTTCGGTTTTATTTTTTTTATGTGTTATTAAAAAGATGGCGTTGAAAGATTTTAAGTTTCTGAGTGTTCGAAATGTTTTCGGAGCGCGAGCATTGAAGATGCCAAGTTAGATTTTGGCGAAACGTCTGCAGGATTCCAGTCGGAGTTCAACATGATATCCCGGAATATAGTGTCATCACATTTTTCCATCCGTGAATCAATACGTGAAAAAAAAAAAAAAAAAAAAAAAAAATATATATATATATATATATATATATATATATATATATATATATATATATATATATATATATATATATATATATATATATATATATATATATATATATATATATATATATATATATATATATATATATATATATATATATATATATATATATATATATTTGGTACCAATTAGAATCATTGTTTTCTATGCTGTGCAATGCTTGTCTTTAATTATTGACATGGTCCATAAAAAATATTTTTTTGCAGCGCTTGGCACTTTTTGGCACCCAAATTTGTAATTGGCAAGAAGGTAATAGCAAGATATAAGTGACAAAATATTTGTATCTATTTAAAAATTAATTCGATGTACTAAACTGATAAAACATTGAAGCATTTATTTTTAATTGTTGTATTAATTTTATATGCTGTTAATATAATACTTTATGCTGTAATTAAAAATTACATTGACTGTCTAAAACTTCAGCAAGCCTCATACAGATTATATGATCGGATTATAAAAATGAATTTCAGTTTAATACTGATACGTGTTTTGGACTTAGCTTTAATAGAAAGGGTAACCATGTAGAGTTAGTACTGGTCAGAGTTGTAAAAATGCGGGATCTTCGTGTAACCTTTGATATTTAGGCCACATATAAATAATATGATTTTTAGAGTATCCAAATTGGTTGACTTCATGATAAGAAATTGTAAGAATTTTAATTTAAAATGTCTTAATACATTGTATACATCATTTGTCAGAAGTATACTTCAATATTGTTCTTTTGTTTGGAGTCTTTGTTATGAAACTCAAAAATATAACAATGAAAAGATTCAAAATAAGTTTCTACGATTTGTATATCCGTGAAAATGGTGTGCACCCAATGCACATGCAAATCCGCTCAGAGGGTGGTTTCTGGAATGTATAGTCAGTTAGTAAGCTTCAATCTAAACTCTTTGAAATATGCAATTAACTCGTAAATTGTATTGTTATAGTTGGTAGGTTGTTACCACCCTACTCTGTAAATGGAAGTAATTTCGTTGAGTTTTTTTTATAAATAAATACCCGTTGTCAAGCCCGAACGTTTGGCTAGCAATGCTTATATTTTTGTTTACCACATTTTTGGGACTATATAACCTTCATTAATCCACCTTTCAACAAAAATTGCAGATTTTGTGCTGTTCTCTTTGCTAGTACTTCATGCTTCTCAGCTAACAATATTATCAGAAGTACAGCAGGGATCAAAAATAATTTTATTGCACGCAATTTTCTTACGCTTATGATCGAAGCCGAAATTGAGCGGAACTGGACCGAATTTAATATTTTAGTACTTTGCACTCTTCTGAAATAGCCTATATGAGGCCCATTAAAAGTTAATTTATCTCAGCCTGAAACTTCTGTACTTGGGTCCTTGAAAACCGGGAATCTCATTAAAAGTTTGCCGGCCCCTAAAAGGAATCCGTTTTCTGTATTAAACTGCTTTGAATCTCTTTCATGTGTCCGGCCCCTAAAAGGAATCCGTTTTCTGTATTAAACTGCTTTGAATCTCTTTCATGTGTCCGGATAAATATCCAGTTGGTCCCTTGCAGGATATTATCATCCATATAGCCGACAAACATAAAGACTTGGACGGTAAGAGAATATGCGCAATTTTGTTGCAAAGTAACGGTTGTTCGGCGAACAGCACCGATCTGGAATGGTCCGTTGACCTGCCGTCTGGTTACACGAGTAAAAAAAATGTGGGTATTCAAAACTATCCGAAACTATCTTATCGTCGATGTTCTACTAAACCGTAGCGATCAAAATCGGAAGAGAGCTTGAAAATATTGCAATTATCCGACTTGCATTACGACCCGCTATATACGCCTGGTAAATCTAATGAGTGCGGGGAACCGTTATGCTGTCAAAACGATCAAGAAACTGGTGATGTTGAAGCTGGCACCGCGTGTGGTTATTGGTCTGATTACAAGGCAGCGGACGTTCCCGAATATCTGTTTGATGAAGTGCTTAGGCAAGCTCAAACTTCCGTAAGTAACACAATATTATATAGAATAAATCCAACTCTAGTGCTTCTTAATGGTACTGATACCAGTGCTTGTATCGGGAGCTTAGTCGACATTTTATTTTTATAGAATTTTTTTTTGGTTTTTGGTCAGTTAGTTGCCTGACAAGTCGAACGCTGATTGGTGTTCTTTTCTTGCGCTGTTCGTGTTGCATTTTTTGGAGTTTGTGTTTGTGGACTTCTTGCTGCAGCAAACTGCTGAAGCACTGAAAGTCGAGGTACAGGAGGGCCAGTTAAAGAGTTTATCCCTAAATCTTTAATATTGATACAAAAGTTTGAATCCTATAGGGTTTGCTTCAGTAAGAATGATCTTAATTTTTATGTGATTTGTTCAGAGTGTCTCACATTACTATAGGTGTGTCAAATAATATATATATATATATATATATATATATATATATATATATATATATATATATATATATATATATATATATATATATATATATATATATATATATATATATATATATATATATATATATATATATATATATATATATATATATATATATAATAAAATTATTTGACCACCCTATATGTAATTGAGCGACAATTGAAATAATAAAACACTATGTAATCACAAACCAATGCAAAGCGTATGAAACATTAAACACTAAGCACACACTAATGCAAAGCGTAGCAAGTTTTAAACGTGACATTATTTCCACTCCTAGCAAATTCCAACACTGGCCAAAACCAAAAAGGCACCCAATTATCTTCTAATAGATTGAAGAGCTCTTCCATATCCGGTGTCATTACCCAGTCGTCGGGCCACAGCCTTAATTGCTCCTTAGCGGCCTTCGTGAGCAGAGACCTATCAATTCGCCTTATTTGGTAGCGCGATCCATAAAAGGAAAATCTCCCACTTTGAAGTATATGGTATTTCGTCGTTTTTCATTTTCTTTAATGCTTTTTCTGTAGCCACGTACTCAAATTGGTTTGTAAATTCCTGATGGGCTGTAAATCCATACTAATATTTGCAAGTATGCTCTGAATTAATGGTGTAGACCCTTCTATTTCAATCAAAGCCCTAAGCGGTGCCACTTGAATTGATTTTTGTACCGTCATCTTAATAAAAACTTAAATTTATCTTAAAGTGCTAGCCCATTCTGACGTAACTTTAGTTTCAATCCGTGGAAGATTCATGATAGTCCTCAAGTACCTTTCGACTTGTCCGTTCGATCGATGTACATCTGGGGTCCTAAAATGATAATTGTGCCTCATGAATCCAAATGTTCCGGTAGACTTAGATTTTTGAAATTTTTGCCAGCGTCCAAAATAATTTGTTTCGGTGTACCAAATAACGAAATAAATAGCTGGAAAGCAGCAACTCTTGTTTTTTCGGCTTTAACAGTTAATAAGATGCGAATTACATTTATGGGGCCGGTTGGTTTTTGTACGTTAATAATAATGCCTTGAAGAGGACCCGATCGACATTTTTTTTACAGCGCACACAGGATAATGACGGATATATTTGATAACAAAATATCTCATACGCGGGAACCAAAGGTGTCCTTGAATTGAACTTCTTATCAATACCAACATGACATTGTTCGTCACGGAGTATTCGCAATAATCCTAACCTGCTGTAACGAGGAACAAATAGTTTGGCAACAGTGCCGTTGGTTGTGGGTATTAGACAATGAAGAATATTATTTTTTACTATAAATCGAGTTTTATCCAACCTTTGCTCTTTCCAATCATTTAAAAGCTTCTTGACCTTATTAGTCATCTGGTAAGGAGCATCCTTTTTTGTACACAATGTCAAAGCTGGAGTCCTGAATATAGACCCACTAACGAGCTACCCTAGGCAGCATATCTTTTTTTGTAGCAGTTGTTTTAATTGCATTACAATCAGTCACCAAAGTAAAGTGAATCCCTAGTAGATAAAGTACTTCATTGAATTGGCGGCTGCTAACATCTCCAATTCGTAGGACTGATTTTTTCTTAGTACTTGTTTGTCTTTTTACTGTAGTATCCTATAATTCGTACATTCCTATCCAATTTTTGAAATAACTCGCCTCCATATCCAATGGCACTCATCTGTTGGGAGTGCAGGATCAAATACATTGAGAAGTGGTATTGAGGTAAGGTGTTCTATTATGCATTCTTGCCCTTCGCCCCAAGAAAATGGCGAATTATAATGGGTTAGCTTGGTTATACACGTTGTCCTGGTAGCAAATTCTGGGATAAACTTGCGAAAATAACCTGCCAAACCCATCAGCTGTCGGACATGTTTAATATTGGTCAAGTTGGTCTTCTTTTAATGGCAATGGATAACCGTCTCTTATCGTATGCGAGTTCAACTCACTATAGTCACAGCATAACCGGTAAGTACTCTCCGTCTTCCTGAGGAGAATGATCGGACTGGCGAAGGGCGATTCACTTCCTTGAACGATGTTATTGGCTAGTACATCCTTAATGATGTCTTGAACGATTTGTCTTTCAGCTAAGGATAAGCGGTTAGGGCTTCTTTTAACAATTGGTTCATCCTTAAGTCTAATGTGCATGGTGGTGCTGTTAACAAAAGCAACTGCATTTCCACGACTTTGTTGTAACGAGAAAGAGCTTTAATAATTTGGATCGATGTCTGTTAGATACGTCTATTTCAAAGTCAAACGAAGTGGGCAACGAATTCACAACTGTTGCAACCTTGTTCGTGACAATTTTATATATACCGGGATCATCATATGAATTAGATTCAACTAACTAACCATGTTCCCAAAAGTTATCTGGCACAATAAATATCAATGCAAGACGTAAACGAGTGGTTAGAAACATATTTTGCAGGAAGTAGTCCAGTGATCGTAATATAACTTCGTTTTATTTTATTTTCAATTTTACCGATATCTCGTTAATGGCACAAAGCATGTCGATATCGGCTCCGGTATCAACAATACCAGTCATTTGAATTCCGTCAAACGTCACTACTGAACAGGCTATTTGTACCGTTATTACATAAGGTAACATTTTTACGCTTTTCATTTCTCTTCCTTAAAAAGCAGTCACTAGACTCATGTTCCAACTTAGCACAAAAGGAACATTTTGTAGCAGAAGTCGTAGAGGTGCTACGTTTGGAATAGTCTACAGCAAACAAAGTTTGGGGCTTCCGTTCGATTGATTTTCAAAACAAAATCTCTGGATGCGTCAATGCTTACCACACTTATAACATCCCATTGGTCTATTTCGTTTTTGATCACTTCGTAACTCTCTGCTCGCAATCGTTGAAACTCATCAGTGAATTTTTTTTTCGGGTTTACCCTCTTCATTATGACGTTTAAGTACTAATTCTAAATATGCGATAAGTTCCGATATGTTTCCGTGTATAATTATTTCCACAAGGTCAATCTTCTCACAGCGTGCTCGTAGTTTTCGAAGAAGATTAACTTTCTCAAAAACTTTGTTTTGCTAACGGTTGCTATTAAATTCCGCAGCTTCTGAAAGCAATTGCCCTATTTTTTTTAACGGAAATCCCTAGCAAAAACATTTTATCCTCACAATAATTTGTTGACTTGTCGATTCAAATTCATTCTTAATATTACTAATCTTAGTCAACAACCTTTTTGCATCACTTAATTTGGGGCGAAAAATTTACAAGTGTACTTGCTCTGGAGCTGTACTCAAAGATTTGAGTGCTTTAACCAATTTTGCCAGCAGGTCTCGGGTAGCAGGACCAGACTCAGCCATTGTATTATAATAAGTGTGAACGTGCTTCAGTCCCTACTTCTGTCTAATTTGTGCAAATTGTCGTATACAATACGTCGATAATTAATTATCACAATAACCCCAGCAGCACTACTTTACTCGAGCGGTACACGTTGAATATATACGAATTCGACCCACCGACCGAAGGTTGCTGTGAAGGTTGTGTATTTTTTGCAGACAAAATATGACTCAGTTGATTCCGACGACAAAATTTTTGAATTTCCGATACTATATATGCGTCACTAATGTACCTTTATTAGTGAATGCCATCGGTAAGGTTTTTCTTTATATTGTATATTAAATTTTAAAACATTTTTCTGCGCAACATATTTTAAGAAATAATACTTTTTCCATTACAATATTCAATATTGAAATATTACTTTATTTATTAATTTACTGCTACTTCTTTAAAAAAATTTAAACTCTGTATATTCTACGATTTTGATCGATTCCGAGTACTAATTCAATTAACCTTACTTCTGAAAGCGTCTCTAATATTTTTTTATGAAATTGCTATATCCATAATCAATTATTTAAAATACTGCAAAAATTATAGATTATTTTAATTTTTAATAGTAACATTTGACAAACCTTTTTAAAATTAAAATTAATAATTTTATATTCAATTTAATTGATTAATTACATCCCGAATTTTTTGTTGCAATGCAAAAACTTCTATGGGATTATTTTTGTATACTATCTCATTTAAAGTGCCTCACAAAATGAAGTCCAGTGGGTTTAAGTGTGGGCTCATTGCTTGCGAGATGGTGTCATTTTGCCCAATCGATTGTCTAAAATTGCAATTTAAAAATTCACTAATATCAGAGACTTCGATAATAAGAAGCGTCATTTTGTTGCCAAATTAAATTTGGATTTTCTTTTTCTGGAATAGTATTCTGAATAAGGGGCTCAATATTATGGCCCTAAAATTTTCCTCCCTAAAATCTCTCCAAATACCGCACCACATTTGAACCGATCTTCTAATTTGTATATTTGTCTCAAGTTAACAAAGTTTATTTTCAGAGTTTCACTAATGCATATGTTTTCGATTATGTAATGTTAGTGATGTGGTAAATATCGATTCATGATTAAATTAAATTAAAATGATGAATGAAATAATATTTATTGATTTATTTATTTTCTAATGAAGAATTTTTATAATACGATGAATTACAGACCATCGTTGGATTAATCTATTAAAGGTGTATTTAAAAATATAATAAAATATAGGATGATCCATTTTAAAAATATAATTTTATTTCACCACCCAAAAAAACTAAAGAGCATGTCACTATACACAACTTTTATATTCAAACTTTTTTTATAACACTCATAGATTTAGATAGATTTAGGTATAGGCCCCTCTTAAAACGGCGACCCTGTCCACCAACAAATACCTTACTTTTCAATGTGTTGCAATGCTGTAAAGTAATGTTTAGTGATTTAAAAAAAAAACCTGAAAAATGGCGAAACTTCCCATTGAGTGCAAAATTCTTAATATGGTATAAATTCGGGTTATCACTTATATACCACAAAAGTTGTTTGACAAATTGTTAATGCTTTTTAAAGGCACATCTTTTCTGGAAACAACCATATGTAACATATTTATAGTATTTTCTTTAGTACTTCCATTTTATGTGGGTATTTCTAATAAGAAGTTAGATCTTCTGAGGTTTATTTCAAAATGGAAATTTGATAAGAATGCCTTGCAGTTCAGGATGTACCATCCCACCTGCCCCAAAGAGAGAAAGAACTTTGGAAAAATTGATTTTTGCAAAACCGAATTACGTATTGATAATAATACACAATTTTTTGAATTCAGCTAAAGCACAGGTGTTTTAAAATTGCTTTACTGAAATTGTGTAGCCGATGATTCTTATTGGTCCTAATAATTAACGAGAAACAGACTTTTCTTTTTGTCTGTTACTCACATTTTGCACAATTTGAATTGTTTATACTTGCTTCCTAAATAAAATTAAAAACTTATGTAATTAATTGTTAGAATATTGTTCCTAATATAAGTGATATTAAATATTTTCGCTTAAGTTGAAAGCACTTGAGGTAATAATAAAGGTGTATTACATATTGAAACTAGAGGATCTTTGCTCAAAATAAAAATTTAATAAATGGGATCGCAACAATTAACATTTTTAACCAACTCGAGTGACTTTGAAATTCGCATTTTGACTAATTTAACGATCTTTTAGAAAGTATTGGGCTTTTTAATTGAAAATTTTACAGAAACATTTCTTTTTGCTTTTTTCGATTTTTTGTACCGGATGTGTCAACGATAGAGTAAAGTTCATTGCTTTTAACAATTATGATAAATATAAAAGTTGTAAAGATAGTTAGGATGCACATTTTAAAAATTTCTTATAAAGAATGGTTCAAAAAAGCGCGACAAATAAAATATGTATATTTCAAATGAAACCCCATTTTGTTTCGCATTCGTTTTGAAATTATTCAACTTTTTTGTTAATAAACAAAGTTTAAAATATAGTGTTTGATTTCAAAAAAAAAGTATCAGTCACCCTGTATATTTTAAAGTAATTTTAAATTGTGCATTCTAACAATATTTACAACTTTCGTATTTACTATTTTCTCATCACGTTTGAAAACCAATGAGAAAATGGACTTTATTCTGGACTCACCTTGTAAATATAGATAGATAGATTCTTAAAATTAATTAAATAGGTTGTTTCGCTATTGCATTTTTAATGTATAGACTAAAAATTCTACAAAAGGTAAATACTTTCCTAAATGTGAAGAACTAAGTGTGGATTATATTAAAAAATATACGGAGCTAGTGAATCAATCCAATAACTCGGGCATTTTAGAATTTTCAGACAAATTTACCAAAAATACTCGTTATTGTTATAGAATTTCCTCTTTTATGTATGGCTATTCCTGTATGGTTCATAAGAATCTTAAGGCATTAGCTGGTTTGTATATATTCTTCGGACTTAATTAAGGATGTTTTAAATTTAGACTTCAATTTTTTTAAATGCGTAAGTGACACACATTCGTTTTACAAACTTGCGCAAAATCTTTAAAATCCGGGAATACAACAAAAACGCAACCAATTTAAGCAAAAAAATGGTGTCAACAAAAGTAAAAAAGTGTAATCAACAATACACCTTTTTACCATTGACTTGTATTCTACCAATACAAAGTGATCCAACGGTATTGTATTAAAAACTGCATTAGTATCTCCAAAACTGCCAAAACTGAAACGATACAATTCAATACCTGGGGGTTTTTGAACCTGCAGCATTCAAAAATGTTAACAAAAATGTTGTCAGATTTACCATTTGTACGTCACACATCATAATTTTGTTATTTCAAGTAGAGGTAAGCAGAATTATAAATATCTTCGCGAAATATGATATCATTGGTGTCAGCATTTTTGAATTCTGCCTGTTTAAACGCCCCCAGGTTTTCAATTTTATCGTTCCTGATTTGGCAATTTTGAAGATATTAAAGCGTTCCTGTACTTTTTACTAACTCGGTTGTTACTTACCTTTTTAAACCTTGGTAAATTAGTTGAATATGTAATGATACACTGTTTTTAAGAAGGTCTAGCTAAGAACTACAAGAAATATTACTCTGGCAGTTGGATCAATAGATAGTCAATAGTAAAAATTGGCGAATATATAATTTTTAATGTAAAGGTTGGAGTATTAAATTAACACAGATTGCCAGAATTAAAAAAAAACTATTTTGTTATATTATTAAGCCGCCATAAAGTTCTCCTGTTTGTGACAAATATTATTAATACAATCTTACTCCAAGGGGCGTTTTATGTTATGTGCAAAATATTTAAAGTAATTTCATTCTCTAAAATAAAAAATCCGGACCCGGTGCCAAACTGCTATCTAAAATACAACTACTACAACTTATGAAGTTGTCTGGAGAACAGAGTCTTGACTGCGCAAACTGGCAAAGGCATGGAATCTTCCACTCTGACTACTCTACTATCAAACCTAACCATTTTTTTATCTTTCTTTTGTATAACATTGAAAATTTGACGTCGAAACACTCCTTTCCTTTTCCTTCTGTCTGCTCCTGCTGTTTATTTAACAATGCAGATTGCTGCTCTGTTGTGAGAATGTTTCCATATTCGGTAAGCTTTTGACAAACTAAATCATAAGTTGGTTTTGGCCAGCCTGCACTTCTTGGAGAGAGCGATTAGACTTATGAAGTTGTTCGGGGAAGACAATTCTGTGGTGCAAGCCAAAGTTCAATTCTGCTATTCACACTTATAAGCGGATGTCTGCGAGCGGTTCTAAACATTTATATGCAGACGATATGCGTTTTCTTTCCTTACCTTCCAATGAAAAAGTATCTGTCCAAGACAAACCTCTCACCTTCTTCGCATATAATACACACGACACTTATAAATTCCTTTAAAACAAATTTGAAACTGCATTACACCTGCTGTGCATTCTCTCAATTGTTTCAGTTTCTGGAGACATTTTTTATTTATTACATTAGTTATCTTGATGACATTTCATTGGCGTTGAAACGCACTTTATGAATGTGATGTACTATTATTATCATTATATTAAAACCAATTATTCTTTATAGAACCCCGACTATGTTTACTTTACGGGTGACATAGTCAGCCACAGAGTGTGGTCGACCACTCAGATCGACAACACGCGGGACATAAAACTGGTGTACCAAAAATTGAAAGACGCGTTTGACGTACCTATCTATCCGGTCGTGGGAAACCACGAACCTCACCCCATCAATCAGTAAGTTTCGTCGGAAAACAAACCACGTCATAGAAACGATTGGATTTGTTGCTGCCCCTCCCCCCAGCCTTCCCACGAACGCGTCGTTTTTTTTAGGTATTGTTTTACAGAAGACGAATCTTCTTACTCGACGTCGTGGGTGTACGAACTGGTGATTGAGGAGTTTCCGAATTTGCCGCCGGAAGCGAAGGAAACGATCCTGTTGGGGGGTTTCTATACCGTATCTCCGAGGGAAGGCTTCCGGGTTATCGTTCTAAACAACAACATCGCCTATACCGCAAACTGGTAACAATTTCGTTCATTTTAACTCAATAGAAAACCACTGAAAGCGATATATTAGAGAGTGGAAAATTCGGTAGTTAATATCTATAACACAAGCGATAGTTCTCCGGGATAGTCCCAGTTTCTATTTATTGATTGAAGAGTCGGATGTACCTTAGAAAGGCGCTATATAGTACACTATATTATTTTTTAAATATTTTAACTAATAGTATTAACTATATAATACAAATTATGAAACTATAAAAAAGGAAAGTATATCCAAAATTATAGAAATCATGTGAAGCTGGCGTTTATTTTTTATTGTGCAAATTTGTTCTTAAATTTGGGACTTACAGTTATTATTTTGTCCATGCTCCATAATATAACTTTTTGATTTTTTAAAGCAAATTTCACAGCTGATTTAATATACGTTTAATTAATGTGTAATACTTGGGCATAGCTACTACCGGCTTAGCTAATTCCCTGACGTAGGAGAGCGGGAAATTTGAATGTGGGCAGTTATCTTAAAATTATTGAGAAAAGTAGTATACATTAAAAATAAAACAAATGATATATGATAAACAAATATTAAACAATCAAAAGTAAATAATAAGCTGCAATTAATCAGATTGTAGGCTGTATCTAGGCAATTAGTTATTTACGACGGAGTATTTAATTTTAGCAAAGAGGAATAAAAGCGTAAAAAGAAGAGATAAATATGAGAAAGAAATACCATAATCCCATATGGATTAAAAGTACCAATTAAGATCTAGGTGTGTGGTGGAAAAAATGTTTAAAAGCACCTTTTCTTTAATGCTTCGCTTATTATCCTATTTTGAATTTGAAATCATTAAATTGTAACGTGCTTTTTGGATAAAGAGATACCAATAATACCTAGTTACAATAATAAAAATTACCGAATTTGAACTTATAAAGGCATTTTAAAGCAATCAAATGATACAGTCTCGTAGTCGATCGAGAAAGCCGGCTATTTAATATTTTAGAGTAATACTTCAAACGCTACTTTATTGAAAGCCTAACCTGTGTCCTTAGTTTCTCATTTATTACTATACATAAGTTTCTTTCTCAAATTTTCTGAGAATATTTTCAGTTACTACCTGTTTTAAAAATATTTCGGTTTATAAAATGGTTTCCACTAATCTTTCATTTTTCTTTGGTATTAGCTGAAAATACACATATTGTTGTATTTTAAATTATTGAATAACGGAAAAATATGTGGCTCCTGGCTTGTACTGACAAATGCCTATCAATCTTTAATAACATAGAATATACCTGCTGATCTAAACTAAGTGTTCATCATTGGTTATGAGTAGAGATAAAAATTCAATTAGCAAATTAGTAGCACTTTTTCTAGTGATTAGGATGGTGAAAAAAAAACAACTCTAACGTTCGCGGATCATAAACAGAACAAAAAAGATCATACGCAATATTCGCTTAAAATTGAAAATAACCGAATTATCAGCATATGAGTGGTTGCAAAATAAAACTCCATTTTCCTTTAATTGTTTTATTTCCACGTCTTCATTATAAATTTTTTTAGTTTACTTGTTTTAGCAAAAACGGTTTCATTATTTTTTAGGATTCGATAAAGGCGCAGGAAAATTGTTCAAAGAAGGCTGCGCAAAATAATGACAGCCCTGCCAAATAGAAAACTCGTCAAAAAAATAGTTTCATTGTGTTAATTATTAGTATTGTTATATTAATTTTTATTAATTATTTAAATTAATTTTACATAATAAAATACATAAACCTATATTCACAGCGAATTCCACAACATCCACAATTTTTCTGTGCCTTTATCGAATTTTTAGAAATAATGAGACCGTTTTTGCAAAAAGCAGGCGAAACGTTTCTATTATAAGTGAAAACGTGGAAATTGGTTTTCTTGGGTATTTTGAAGCATATCGTGACAATTCTATTCGAGACATAGTTAAAGATCTATCCTCTAATACTATCCAAAAGATATAAAAAAGAAAACACAAATTTTGCCTTTTTAAATTCCGAACAGCTCAGGTGGTTTTGGCAGAAAATACTTTTATTTTGTCATGGTTTGTTTACTTTTGCTGCCGAAACCTAAATAATTTTCAGTATATATATTGTGGACTAACAAATCGCATTTTTTAAATTCTGGAATTTATATTCTAGTCTTAGTCAAGAGAAAATTTATTGCTAGTACATCTTCGAGGTTCACAAATTCGTTTCAGCTTTGACGTGCGATATATTTTATTCTCGTATTGTTGGTCCATATTTTCATCCATATTTACATTGCAATTATTACGGAAATTCTGGATGGTTTCCAGATGAGCTTGACCTCATACGTAGATCGAATCTTCATTTCCAACAAGATCGTGCACCATCTTATAACGTCCGAAGCGCATATCAATTTTTGACAACAATTTTCAACAATTAATGGACACTATTCCTTTTCCTCTTAGGTCACCAGATATAAACCCCACTTGATTTCTACTTGTGGGGTTATTTAGACGACGTTGACACGTTGACGTTTGAAAGGCTGCAATAAGTGAAAAAAGAAACGAGATAGATAGTGGAACAATAGCAAAGGCAATTCGATCAAGAGAAAAACCTGTTCAAAAATGTATTAAATGATTTTTTTTTCATTTTTAATTAATAATTAATTAATTAATTATTATTAAACAATAAAAGCCATCTAGTCTAAATGAGAAATGTGCTAATAATTCGGTTTTAAATTTTAGGCTAATATTGCATATGAGCTTTATTGTTCTGTTGGTGATTTACGAACGTTGGATTAAAAAATATACGGGGTGTTCAATTTAGAAAGAGCAGATTTTCCTAATTTTTTCCTGTTTTCACCACTGGAAAAAAATGCTTAGGGGTGCCTTTTAAGCGAGAACTAGTTCATTTGATTGAAATAAATACACATCTACCAGTTTACTTAAAGAGATAAAAAAATGTTTCAAACAAAAAAATATGCAATTGGATAACAAAACCCTAATCTTTAAATAAGAAACACTAATAATAAAAATAAAAATTATTTAGGACTTCGCCTTTATTTCGAGGTTTTAATTCATTTTACCTCACAGTATAAAAACTAACAATTTTCATTTAAAATTTCGATCAATAAACGCCCAGCTAGCGTAGATAGAGACGGAAACGGTATACGTAAGACGTAACTCAATTTGTTCACTTTTGGGATACCTGAGCTATCTCACAATATAAATGTTACTCCGATTATTCCGTTTTATCCGTCTTTCTATTTTTACTGGTTTTCTCTACGGTCGTAACGTCTGGATTCGGCGAACGCAGTCAGCGAAAATTGAGTCTCCGCTAATGCGAGCTAACGTCCTGGCAACCAAACACCCGTATTCGAACGAAACGAACTTGGCACACGTTATTTGCTTTACATATTTCGAGCAGAAATTATAATTTTTATTGGCCGTGCGCGCAGTTTTATACGTCCGTTTCGTGTTTGGATTTTCCATCGAATAAATCTTTTATTTTTAATAACGGCTTGATTGGCAAACGCTTGACGGTTATTTGCGAGGCACATTTACGAACCGTGATGAAACATAAACTCATAAAATTAATCGGCTATATAGCCTCCGAAAAAAATCGGTAGTTAAGATAGTTAACACCTTACGGCAGTTACAGTTTTAACTACGAACTCCAATATACTGAAGTCACTTGAAAAGTTTCCGTCCTGACTCTCAAGATGGCGGTACTAGTTACTAAAAGATAGTGTTTGTAGTCGCGCATTTCTTGATAGTTACCAAAATTTCAGCCATTTTTGGGGCGTGGTTTTTAGTTGAGAGTCGCTTGAGTGAGTCGACGTGAGTATTTTGGTGAAAATGGAAAAAATTGAGTATGGAGCTGTTACAAAATATTTATTTTTGAACGGAAATACGCCTACGCAAATTAAAGTTGAGTTGGACTCTGTGCATCGTTATTTACCACAGTGAAGTTTTGAGCAGCTGAATTTAAACGTGGTCGTAAGAGCTTATCAGATGATGGACGTTCGGGACGTCCAAACACTGTTACTATCGCCGGTAATATTGCAAAAGTTCATCAAATGGTGAACTGGTGTGAATGGTGTTATGAAAATGTCGGAACAACGTGCTTGTCACATTTTAAATCAAGATTTTTGGGCATGAGAAAGCTGTCCGTTAGATCAAAAACGTGTTCGAATGAGTGTTTCCTACTCTCTGTTAATGTACTGTAAATGAAACTTGGATACATCATTATATGCTCGAATCAAAAATACAGTCAAAACAGTAGACTGCGCAGAGGGAGGAACCGACTTCGAAAAAAGCAAAAACTAGTTTTTCGGCTGGGAAAGTGGTGACCACTGTTTTTCGGGATAGCCACGGAGTCATCTGAATCGATTACCTTAAAAAAGGAAAAACCATTACAGAAGCATACTACGCATCACACGCTGAGGAATGAAATCGCGAAAACACGTTCACAAAAAAATACTAGTTGACCAAGACAACATAAATACCTCAATGAGAGAAGTGTGCTGAGTTACAAGGAGATTATGTGGAAAAATAAAAAAAATGAGAAAAAATGTCTTATGTCATAATGGCTTTCGGAAGTAATTTTGGAAGCAAAATACAGTGAACCGTTAAAGTATGGAACAAATTTATTTAAGAATTAAAAAAGAAATTAAATTTATTTTTTATTGTGCATTTTTTGTGGTAAAAAAAAATGCAAGTTGGGTCAAAAGTAGATGTCGACCTAAGTTTTGGTATACGACATTTGCCGGTGTTATGTTTGCATATTTCAATTTATTTCATTGAATATGTGTGCAATATGTTAAATTTGTTTGTAGGATGAAAAGCTTTAACTAAAACATCATATTCAATTAAAAAGACAGGTCATGATAGGAAAGATTCGTTAGTTAAACCACCATCAAGTAAATACGGATTTCAAAGTGCTGGAACTGTTCCTTCCAAAGTAATACCGATTTTGAGCAAATTATTTTCCAAACATTTATAGTGCCATTACGGACCAACGTGGAATTATGT